TACTAGTCTATTCTAATCTATTCTAGTGTATACTAGTCTATTCTAATCTATTCTAGTGTATACTAGTCTAATCTAATCTAACCTCGTAAAGACATATACGCTTTAAAATGGACACAGAGTAGGGCTCCATTGGGGTGGGTGGATGTGATGGATGGCTGATGACATGTCTGATAAGGCTAGTTACGAATAGTATTTGGGTTTCCATGAATCTACCGAGTAAGGTGTGAAATTGAAGAGGTCGTACGAGAAGGTAGGTTGGGTGAACAGGGCTGGACGAGAGAGATGCCCCAACAACAATTGGTTGAGAGATTGACTTCACTTGCCCCTTGGACAGGTTGTAGTCTGCTGGTGGGAATCATGACAACTACTCTGGCAGACGACTTCGGACTAGGCGCGTTCTACTAAGTCGCCTTGACACAAGACCAAGTTGCGACAACGAGGCCAACACACTTCAATAATATTGTTGGATTTCGAGGACTCTCTTGTTTCATAATTGTTAAGCCTACTTCCATTTTGGGTGAAAGTGTGCGGTAAAGAGATTCGAAGGTCGGCTCTACCAGATTCATGCTGACGCTGTTTCCGAGGCAATCTTCTTCGATTCATATGACCGACGAAAGCTTAGCACCTTTTTACAGGAATCGAAGGAGATTGCCTCGGAAACAGCTTCAGCATGAATCTGGTGGAGGCGACCTTCGAATCTCTTCACCGCACACTTTCACTCGAAATGGAAGTAAGCTCAACAAGTTGTAGTCTGTTGCTAAGCAGGGCAGGGCTCACTGAAGATGCCGGCGAAACGTCTGGCAACGCACCAAGTCCACAGTCCGACTCTGGCAATTATCGCGCACAACATGGTCTCAGGACAAGATGCGTTCTTCTCATTCGTCGTGACAAGAGACGAACAAGTTGTGCATTCCTTCATGAGAATCAGCTATTTTACCTTTGACGGCAAGTTTTATGAACAGACAGAAGGACTTGCGATGGGATCTTGCTTAGCTGCCAGCTTGGCGAACAACTACACAACCAAAGTTGAGGAACATTATTTCCAACAGGCAATACTAATTGTGGGTTAGATACAGGGACGACTATTCTGTCATCTGGTCAAATGTCAAGGAAAACTTAGATAGTTTCCCACTCGCATTTATCTAATGTGAAAGGAACATTCGATTCACGATGGAGATAGAAGAGGATATGAATTTACCCTTTTTGTATGTTCTAATTATTAGAGAAAAGGGTAGGTTAGAAAGAGATGTTTATACAAAGCTAACGTGTGTTGGTTTTTTTCTCGATTTCATTCCCAACCATAGTTACAAAAGTAAGATTGACATTTTGAAGTGCGATCAACCTAAG